ACTGGCGCCGCCAGTACTGTTACATTGCAAACCTTCTCTCTTCTCTCCTCTCTTCTCTTCTCTTCTCTTCTTCTTCTCTTCTCTTCTCTCCTCTCTTCTCTTCTCTTCTTCTTCTCTTCTCTTCTCTCCTCTTCCACTTATCTCTGGCCGGCTACACTATCAAGACTCCTATTGCTCATTCTTGAAAGACACGATAGTTTGGAGAGAAGGTTACATTACAATTTAGATTTTCCTTTAGAGAATTAACAACTTTTAGGTTATGTGGGAGTAGAAAAACTTTATCAACTCGCAAATTATTGACTAGATAATGTCTTAAAATGATTTTAAGAACATAAGCAGGATCAATTTTGCTTCAAAGAAGGAAATTCTAGTGAGGCATTAGGAGCTTGCTTATTCTGAAACTATAACTTTTGTTGGATTTCCACTCTAATTGAAGTAGATAGAATCAAAGCTGGGAGTTGGTTGTACTGCCTTTTTCTTACCATAAGTTTTAACAGTTTGGAGTTGGCTATATATGTTTGTTATGCTTCTATTTTTATTTCTTTACTAATTTATCTATTTTTTCTCTCTGTTCATTTGCCAGAGTTGTAATGCACCACTCTTGGTGATTGTCATAAGGAGCATGCATTTGCATGCTAACATAACTCAAAACAATTTTATGGCTGTACTTTCAAGCGACCTTGTAGTGAACTACAACAACATTCAAAAGGTACATTTGTGTTTGGTCAATATAGTTTTTCTACTTCAAGTGAACTAGTTTCTAACCTCAACCCACTATTTTTTAGGTTATGTGGGAGCCATTCATGGAACCATGGAATTTTCAGTTAAGCATCATGAGAAAAGTTGAAAAAAGTGCTCTTATGAACACCTCTATCATTACAGATATCCAAATGAAGTCTTTGGCACAACTTAATTTGAATTTTACGGAATCCCTTTTTGAGGTACAACATATTATATACTTGCACAGACACACACTAGCAGATACCAGTGTTATGTAACGATATATAAATCATTATGTTGTGAATCTCTTTTCTCGTATGCTTTAAATATTCTTAATGTTCACTATAAGTTTGTGAATCAGTTATTAGAACTAGCTGTCCTTGAATTAGTAATGAAAGATTACAATTCTCATTTATTAACCTTTCGGATTACTGTAGCTTCCTAGTTGATAAGGTCTGATGATAATTATATTTGAATCATATTCTCTATTTAATTATTTTATTATTTGGGAAAGATTGAGATAAGAAGACAACAAAATTGGTTCTCTCTGCATCTCTTTCCATGAGGTTTAAGATACTTAAGTGGAATGTATGCCTTTATGTTCAATCATTTCATTAATCATCTCATAAGATTGGTTCAATCTGAATCTGGAATAATCTCTCCATACTGAGCTGGTTTGTCTACTTCTTGATAATGCCTATAGGGATGTCAATGGGTTGGGTTAAGTGGTAAACCCACATTGTCCCAATCCTAACAGGTTAGAGTTGGGTTCAGGTTGTGCCTGACCTATGCCAGACCTGAACCATCAATCAAGTGTTGATGTACCATTGGTGGGACAGGTTGGACCCATTGACATCCCTAAATATATCCAATCCTACTGCTTCTGTTAAATCTATTTCCATCATACTCTAATCGATTTTCGACAATCGTAAGCTTCATTTTGTATCTCTCTACAATGTAACCTAAAAACAAAGACTGTAAAAACTTAGATGTAGTTCTAACTTTTCAAAAGAAAACACCAAACTTGACTAAATGACCAGCAGCCTACCTTTAAGACAATTAATGAAATAGCTGATATGCAACACAAAAAACAGAATCTGCTTGAAGATATGAACTAGTTCAGATGCTAGGGAGCATAACTCACAAGACAAGGAGGGAAAATATAAATCTTTTCATGGAGTCCTTCCAAAGAGCAAATAAAAGAGGAAATCCAAAAAACAAAAGCTTTAATAGCATTAAAATAGGGACTGGAAGATGCCCTAGTCTACCAATCAGATCAGATTTCCTTGCCCAAATGACCCCTTGATCTTCTTTCTCATATAAAAACGACCTGAACTTTAAAAGCTCAAGTCTAGATTCCACCAAGTGTGAGAGAATCAAAAGAAAATCAGATTTTTCTCCTAGTATTTTCTGGTCAGTTTTTCTCATCGATTAGAAAATTGGATCAGACTGGCTGGTCAGACCTATTGAACGAACCATGACCCAGGCCCCTAGCTGGTTTGGTCATACCCCGAAAATTGTAATTCATGAGAAACCAGCCAAAACTGGATGACTGGCCGATTTAGCCAATTGGTGAATCGGTCCCAATTTTATAAAGTTAAAAAGTTTTAGTAAGGTGAAGAAGTTGTGTCAAGAATGCTTGGTGTTTACTGTTCACACCAAGAGACTTTTCATTTATCCTCTTGAGCAAAATTACAAAGGGGCCCTTGAATAGGCACCAAACACAAGCATACATAAATGTCCTTACACTCTCAGCATATAAAATTGCTTGGGTCACCACATGAATAGAAACTTCAAAATGGTAATTGGTTTAAAAACATGAGTTGAGAGGCTTGAACCCTGGTCATTGTTTTAAAAATTTAGGAGCTAGCCATCTATCCACCACTGTATACAATAGTATAAAATATATAATATAATATTTGTAAAATATATTTATATATTATTTATGTAACCTGACATATACAATAGTAAAGCTTGATGGTGGGAATTACTTGGAGTGGGCCCAGTCCGCAATGATGGCAATTGGAGGAAGTGGAAAATTGGGGTATGTAGGTGAGAGAGAAATCTACCGATGCCTCTCGCAGCAAATGGGTTCAAGAGAACTAAATGGTGATGATTTGGCTTTGCAACTCAACGTTGCCCTATATTAGTTGGAACTACAATCATGAAATCAATGGGATCCAATGGTTGATCCAATCCAAAACTGGACCATAATGGTGGAGCAATTAAATGAGATTTAATATTAGAAATTAAATTAATTTAAATGATTTTCATGTAATTTTCTCCTGCTTTTTCTGTGCTTGATTATTACTTGTTTAATCATAGAATAATCCATAGAACATTAGTAAAATACATGGAACAAGGATCAATGCACAAATGATGCATATATATATATATATATATTGATCAATAACAACAGATTTCATTAAATAGGAATAAGCTTACAAAGTAGAGGAGCTAAAGTATATTAACTACCCAAGAAAGTGGGAAGGCACCCAAAAAGAAAAGAACAATTACTACTGAGCCCAGAAACCAGAATCCCTTTTCACCCCTTACCTAGCTAATCCATCAGCAAGGGAATTTGCATTTCTCTTTACCCAAATACACTGAACTTCCATGTCCTTGGTCAGCCATTTGAATTTTATCCTTTCATTGTTGTAGCTCCAAAGCTTAAAGGTATCTTCTACTCTTCTTTTAGCCAGCTCACTACAGTCTCAGAATCTCCTTCTATAATCAGTTTCTTGACATTCGGGTCCTTATCCCTTTGTAACCCTTCCAAAGCTGCTAACACCTCAGCTCTCAAAGAGTCTCCCACTCCAATTGGGCCAAAGAACATAGCTATTACATTCCCTTTCTCATCTCTTAGCACCCCTTCAATACCCAAAGGCCCTGGATTTCCCATATTGCTGCCATCAAAATTTAGTTTGATAAATCCAAGAGGTGGAGGTTTCCAGTTGGGATTCGAGGTCTTCTTAACTGAGGCTGAACTTGCAATTTCTTTCCATTTTCTTAACAGATCATCTGTTAACAAATCAAGTGATTTCAACCAATGGTTTACCCTTATATGGATCACTTCTAGCACGGTTTCTAGACTAGTCTCCTTTTCTAAAAAAAAAAATCCTTGAGTTTCTTTCTCCCCATATAGTCCTGTAAACAGCAGCTCTAACACATTTCCACATGATCCTTGACCTTTTTGTTGGGCAGTTGAAAGAAGAGGAAGTAAACAAGCTTTGCACATTCATTGGGGAAGTCCACCTGCACCCAAACAAAGAAGCAAACCGTTTCCAAATATTTTTTTGCAAAAAGACAAGATATTAGTAAGCTATAACTAGACTCACCAGCAACTTTACAAAGAACACACCAGCGAGGAGATAAACATCTATTGGGTCTTTTTCTTTGAAGCAAATCACCTGTGGTGACTCTTTCCAGGAAAGCTTCCCAACCTTTGGAGGGATGGATTGACACCACACTTCTTTGGTAGGGAATGACAAGCCAATAGGAATAGCCGATTGTATTAGGGCTTTAAAGAAGGAAGTACAAGTAAAGGAACCTAAAGGAGAAATAGTCCAAATCCTGCTATTTGTTTTTGTAGGCTCCAAGAAAACCCCATCAAGAATGGACATGAGAGTTAAGGTACTATCCAATTCTGTGTCCCTGAGAGCTCTTCTCAATACCATGTTCCATCCAAACCCAGAGGTTGAGTTCAAGGGTACAAGGAAGGTGGCAACTAGTTCAGTTTTAAAGGTGGAGATAGCAAAGAGGGTTGGAAATTGGTCTTCTAAAGAATAATCCCCAACCAAACATGTTCCCAAAACTTAATGAGAAAACCCCATCAAGAATGGACATGAGAGTTAAGATACTATCCAATTCTGTGTCCCTTAGAGCTCTTCTCAATCCCAAGTTCCATCCAAACCTAGAGGTTGAGTTCAAGGGTACAAGAAAGGTGGCAACTAGTTCATTTTTGAAGGTGGAGATAGCTAAGAGGGCCGGAAATTGGTCTTCCAAAGGAGAATCCCCAACCAAACATGTTCCCAAAATTTGATGAGATTACCTGAGTGCAAATCATACCTAATCCAAGGAGAAAATAAAGGCAGAATAGCTTGGATTGCTTTCCAAGGTGGTGCCCTTGTAGTCCTAGCCAGAATCTCAGAGTCCCATCTATTCTCTGCAAGCCCGTGAATACTACATATTTGTTAGGCAGTGTATGCCCTTAGCTCCAATCAGCTTGATGTACATTATGACATTTATTGTAGATGAATCAAAGTACATATTTGATTCATGTTATATGGTGTGTTTCTGTGTAATACCCTTAAATTGGACACTTATGAGACTCATGTTAGTTTAGAATCTTCACAGCCGTTGGATAGACCTGAGGAGGTTTATCCTGCCAAGGCTGACACTGATGTGCTACCAAGTGGGTTGGGGTGGCTTGTCTCAACTGCCAGGGTGAGTCCTAAAACACATGCAGTGTGGGTTTTCTTGAAACCCAGAACCGGACCTTTTTCTAGTTATGCTCTGGACCTTGGAGACAAATGGGCAAAACTGGAAAGTTACACCAGACCCCTAGACTCGATTATGGTACTGCACTAGGGGTTCACTGTATTCAGCAGTGAATTCAGCCAGGCCTTGTAACAGAGGCTAGGTTTAACCCATGTGGCTTATGTGGAGATCAATGATAGGGTCCCACGCCATACAAAGAGAGCTAAGCTAGCTAGCATTAAAGGAAGTGAGCTTGAAAGCTTAATGGGCCTAAAGTCCATTTCAAATTGGGTTAATTTGATTAATTAAATAGGGGGCATATCTGGGTATGGATCAATAGATAAGGATAAGAGGATAACTCTTATCCACTTAAAGAGCCCAGATCCAAATAAAGATTTGGATTAGGAAACTTCTAATTGGATTAGGAGAAGCTAATCCTGATTTGCAGATAAGATAAGGGATAAGCCTTATCCCTTAAAGAGTCTAGATCCAAATAAAGATTTGGATCAAGAAACTCCTAATCAGATTAGTAGATTAACTCTTTAAGGTTTATATAAAAGGAGGAGGGCGAACTGGAAAAACACACACAGTTTGACTGACTTTTTTGCATCCAGTTCTCTCTCTCTCTCTCTCTGATCTTGCCGCCCTACCCTGTTCGATCTCCACCTCTTGGAGTGATCAAGATTGGATCTTGATATTGTTTCTTGGTGGAAGAAACAATCAAAAAGCTGTGCTCACATCCCTACATAATTCTTGCTAAAGAATTTTGGTTCTTGCTGAAGAATCCCCTTGTTGATCCTGCCTCACCCTAAGCTGTGTCATCTTCAGTGGAGGAAGGATTTGGTACCCTCTTTGGGCGTGAACGTCTACGTTGGGAGGAGCTTTTTGCGTGGATTCCGTATTAGGTATTCCTCTCCCTAATCTTGGTTTCAGATTTGGTCTAGTTTGTTTCAAGAACGATCCTTGAAAAATGCAATTTTTCTAAAACTGGGAATAGGATTCCCGGAAGGGTGAAAGAAATTTTTGAAATTTCGCCCAACCTCCTTGCATGGTTCGGCCATCCATATGATGGATCACCCTTCCCTTCAATATTATCTTAGCCCACAGTTTTTCCTTTTCCAATGAAAATCTCCACAACCATTTCCCTAGTAGAGCCAAGTTTCTCTTACTTCCTAGATCTTCATCCTACTTACTCCTACACCACCTCCCACCCAACCCTATGGTCCTTTTTCTCCTCCCCTGGCTCCCAAAGGAAGTCTCTCATTAGCTTTTCCAACTTGCTACACAAATGATGCATAATAACCATTATGTGGTTTGTTTTCACATTATGGATGCTTGGGTGTAACTGGTGATTGTTCTATTTCAGAAAATTTTTAGGTCCATTGATGAGATTGATTTGGGATTTTGCATGTTGGTTAGAAATCCCCGACCAATGGTGATTGTTCTGGTTTACCTAGATACATTAAAGGAATGTGTCTAAGGAAATTTCTTACAGGAAGTCCCAAGGCCACCCTGAGTTTGTGAGTAGAAGGTTAGAGATTAAGAAATGAGTCGTAGGTCAGGAAATATCCTCTTTGTCCTTTTATCCTTTCACTCCAACCCACTTCCATGAGATGGACATGTAAGAGCATGAGATCCTAGAATCATCACCCAAGCGAGAGGGGTTTCAAGAGGATAGATGCACTTAGTCAAGAAATTTGCATATAAAGAAATTATCCAGTGGAAGCTATATTACTTGATGACGTGAAGGAGATTAGAGATCAGAAATAGTTGTTTGTGTCCCTCAAAAAAAACTCGGGGGATAATTGACCTGAATGATGGTAACATCTTCTGTTCCTTCCATCTGCCATGTAGTCATGTAGAAACTTACATATGCTTTCTCCTCTAACCCTTATCCTTCCTCTGGCATCTGCCATGTGCCACTGCCTCATCTTCTCTTTCCCTATTAAGTCATGGCCACATTCACCCAAACCTCCCTTATCGAGGTAAATAAACATAACTTACCATTTTGTTACATACTTGTATGCTTCCAACTTCCTTTCTTCCGGATCACATTTCATTCCATACTTGTATACACCCAAACATCAGGCATCCTTTCTTATTCTAAGAACTTCGTATGAGACTAGGAACCATAAATTGGTGAAGCAAGTAGAATTCATAATGTCCTCAATTCATCAGGATTTATACCTTGTTGCCTGAAGATTATGTTCGATTGTAGGTTGTCTATGTCATAAAATTATTAATATTTGCCCAAATTACCACTACTTCCTATTATTTAGTTCTCTTTTTTTAAAGGTCTTTTGCAGGGGAAAAGAGATGATTGAGGATGCTTGGAATCAAGCTGGGCCAAATGATTATTCTGAAGGACAGGGTTTCTTAGAACATCAAACAATTGACAATGTATATACAAGAAAATATGCCCCCTATGTGCTTCAAAATGAGACTTCCTTGCCTTTATCTTTCCAAGTCTATTTTGGGAGTGTTACTGAAACTGATTTTGATGTTCTGCCAAAGGAAGAAAGAAACATTGTTCAACCAGGAACTTCTGTTCCTATTTATATTGATGAAAGTCCTGAGGAGCAGATATTTGGGGATGGGCCAGGCCATTCTTCTGACAGGTTAGGTGAAAAAAAATCAACTGGGGTGTTGCATCACTTGATTTCCATTCAACTTCACGGGACATCACGTCCTTCTCCACCTATTTCAATGGACATTGTTGGACTCAGATACTTTGAAGTAGATTTTTGTAATGCTTCAGACAAAATAGAGATAAACAAAAGTGAAGGTGCTTCAATTTACAGTAGAAAGGTTGAAGAGAAAAATAGAATAGATCCTACCACTGGATTTCTTGTTCCTGTGGTGTTTGATGTTTCAATACAGCGCTATAGCAAGTTAGTACGTTTGTACTCAACGGTATGTATGTACTCAGGATTTTCTGCTAATGTTACTTTTATATTATTGTTTGTTAACTGTTGTTGGATTCAGGTTGAACTTTCAAATGCGACAACTATGCCACTGGAGCTACGGTTTGATATTCCATTTGGTGTTTCTCCCAAGGTATGCTCTTTTCATCTTGTCAACAAACATTTGGTTATTTCTTTTGACTATGTGGCTTTTCAGGTCCTGGATCCAATCTATCCTGGTCAACAGTTTGCACTTCCTTTGCATTTAGCTGAATCTGGTCGCATCAGGTGGCGTCCAGTTGGGAATGGTTACCTGTGGAGTGAAGCACACCAGCTGTCAGATATTCTTTCACAAGAAAATAGACTTGGATATTTGCGGTCTTTTGTCTGCTATCCATCTCATCCTAGTAGTGATCCATTCCGCTGTTGCTTATCAATCCAAGATGTCAGTCTTACTTCATCCATTGAGACAAAGAAGGGTCCATTACTTCATTTCAAAGAGGCTTCTGGGAGGCAACCAGTTAAAAGTGGAGGTCAAACAGTAAATCATCCACATAAGTCTGAGAAACGATTTCTTCACCAAGTGACCTTAACTGCACCATTATTGGTGAAAAATTATTTACCCAGGGCATTATCCATGACAATAGAAAGTGGTGGAGTTGCCCGTACAGTATTACTTTCAGAGGTTCGTAATGAGCTTAGTTCATACTAACATGATTTGCTATCAGTTCTGGTAGCCATTTATTTATTTTTTCTTTACATATACTGTATTGACTTTGGTGTGCAACCAAAGAGAATGTGATTACAACTTAATCTTGTTTCTTCAGGTCAAGACTGTCTCTCTTTTTCATATTGACTCTACCCATGATCTTGGAATAGTTTTCCATATGGATGAATTCATGTCAGCTACTTCAAAGTTCCCACGAGCAGAAAAGTTTACAGAACTGGCTAAGTTCAATGAAAACAAGTTATCATCGTCTGAAACATTAGCCTTCTACCCTAGTTTATCTAATGGTAGTTCATGTTCTTGGTTGGTTTGGATGAGCCCCATTGTTTACTCTGTACAGTTGCTTTCTAATCTTCTTGTTGCATCTCTCCAGGTGTTATATATGTTATGGTAGAGAAGGTGATGGATGCATGCTCTGGTGCTCGGGAAATTTGCATCTCTGTTCCATTTTTGCTGTATAATTTTACTGGCCTGCCACTTATTGTTACAGATTCTGCAAATGAAATGAAAGGAAATATCCTGAATATTCCATCCTGTTACTATTTCATTGATCAAGAACAACTTCTAGCTAGGAAACAAGGCATAGGCTTTGTCTCTTCTGAGCAGGATTCATATGCTACATCACCAACCATTGGCAATTTGAACAATTCTCTTTTAAAAAATAATGCCATCTCATTGAGACAGTATAACAGGTTTCCATGCAAAGATTTCATACCGTGGCATTCTCCTATTACTTCTCATCAGCATATTGAAAACCGTGATTTGCTTGCTCGAGAAGCAGCTCCAAATAGCTTAAAGAACATACTTGATACAACTAGTGAGCTTAGTGTGCACAGTTCTGGTAGTGAAAACACCAGTAGAAAGATTCAGGCATGCATGTATTCTCCTCACCCCAGTACTGCAGCAAGTGAACTTATGGTTAGACTCAGTACATCCTTTCCTGAATCTCTTAATGAAAATATCCAAAGTTCTTCTTGGTCTAGTCCGTTTTTTCTTGTCCCAAGTGGTTCTACTAGTGTGCTAGTTCCTCAACCATCTACAACTGGAGCATTCATAATATCTGTGACATCAGGTCCAGTTGCTGGACCAGTGTCTGCAAGTACTAGAGCCATCACTTTCCAACCAAGGTAATTTGAGTCATTATTTGCAAATCATAATATTGTAATATGCTAATACAGGATTATGTTTGCCAAGAAGCTAGTTACTTGAGACCAGTCTAATAAATACTGTATTCTGTTTTTTTAAGCATTATAATTTAGGTACTAACTTATGAAATTTACTGATTTTTAATCTCTGCAGATATGTGATTAGTAATGCATGTCAAAAGAACATTTCTTTCAAGCAGAAAGGAACTGATCTTGTTTCCCACCTGGTCACTGGACAACATTCTCATCTTCATTGGGCTGATACAACAAGGTATTAATGAGATATTTCATTTTTTTTCTTGTAAAATTATCTATTTCTATTTCTTATCTTTATTGGATTTGATAACTTATCTTAATGACCTACATTGCCTTAGATCATTCCTCCCTTCTAACTAGGGAAGTAAATCTTGTTCCCTTTCATTGATTTTCTTCTTTTCTCTTCTTCCCCCCTCATGTATACTTTTCTGTACTTTATCTTTTGGTTGTTTATGTAAAATTGCAAGCTCTAATCGACTTTCCAGGGCTTTTTTGTTGATAACATTGAGTTACCGATTTAAAGGAGTTAAAAATACAAAGAAAGAGTAGAGATTAGAGAAGAAAAGAGGAACAAGAATCAAGAAAAGGGAAGAATATATTTGGGAGCAGTTCCTTTCTTCTTGACTCATAGGAATCCTAGGACTCAAAACTAGACTCATAAGAATCCTACCTAGCCTTAGTAGGACTCATACTGAATTGCCATTATCCTATTTCAATTCAAAGAAGATTTAATAACACTTAAACTACTTATTCAATGACTCTAAAACTTAAAACATAAACTGTAACTAGACAAATCAAACCCTATCATTGGACCCCACAGAGAATTGTAAAATTTCAGAAATTTCCAATTTTGACTCTGCAGATCCTGCATCATTCTCCCCTGGTTTAGAATAACTCGTCCTGAAGTTTTGAAGAACTCAAGGATGAAAAGTTGATATGCCTCAATGACAAAAATAGAAGTTCCCATAGGTACTTCAGCACACTTGGACTGTAGACTAGATGCTTGGCATCTAGCTAGAAAAGGATCTTGAAATCAATATGTAACTGAAGTACTGCCTGCCATAACCTTTTTTTTGTTAAATCATAGGTAACATTAACTTTTTGAACACGTAATCATCAGTTATCACTATGAATCATTGTTTGTGATTTCGATATCAATGAAAAATTCGCCATGTAGAGTTGGAGAAATTTTGGATATATTTCACTAATTTCACTAAGATATTTGAAAATTCTAAGAAATCAATAAAGTTTTCTAGAAACATTGAATTAATAAACCTTCAAGAGATCATTAGAGGGAATATAATTGCACTTTTAAGGCTCAAAACCATAGCGAAGAACTATAAAATTCAAATAGGAAAAACTAAGAGACTGTAATAGGTATATTTCTTTTTGTCTCCTTTTTGGTCTTTAGCCATCTTCTATATATCAATTATTTGCCATTTTAACATTTGTCCTTATTGTTATTATATGTTTTGATTAGATTGAGAATACTCTTTTGTAGTTATGGGTGTTTTTCTTTTCCTTTTGATTTATAGTGACTTAGTAAGTGAATCATATCAAAGTAGTAAGCTAATTATCTAATCAGCAATTCCCTATTGGTTCTTTTAGGAAATCTGTTTAAAAACTATGATGGTCTTAATGAAATATTGAAAAGTTATTAATAATATTCTAAAATTGTATATTTTAAAAATATAGTCTATCAATGAAATCTGAAATTCCGCTGACATATCAGCAAGATATTGGGGATATTTGAAAAAAAAAAAGATTCTCAGAAGATTTTGTATCACCACCTAGCAACAAGGATATTTCGGGGATATATCGCCAAATATCGTCAATATTGTGAACCATGCTATGAACTTTCATATCCAAAATCTCAACTGCAGCATTTGGAACTTCAATCTCTGGTTTGAGAATTACTATCTCTATTTGTCCATCTACCTTTTGTTCTTTAGCAAACTCTAGGACTTGTTCCATTATGGATGTTAGTGGATCTTGTGCTATGTCAACTTGCAATTGTTGAATTGGTTCCAATTGAAGTTGTAACGTAATGTCATGACCTAATTCCTTACTAAGATCTACTACAACCAGCACATTTATATCTTGTACCTGAATTTCTTCAACTTGCACCATCTCTATCTCTTCTTAATCATTAACCTCAATCTGATCATGGGTGTTGGAAACTTCTTCAACAATTTTCATCTTTTCCTGACCCACACCCTCTTGATCTTCAGTGTTTACAACTTCTATAAGTTGAAACTATGGCTATTTAGCTTCATTCTGCTTTATCTTCAATTTTATAAGCATCAACATGCAAGGAATCATCTGCTTTATCTTCAATTTTATACCTTCTTCCTATTGATTTCAAATTCTTTGTTGTAAGCAGTTGCTTCTGGTTTGGAGTTAGACTGGAGCCACATGGTCTTTTGGATCAGATATTTTCTGTTTTGAATTTTTTTCTTAAAGCTAATGTTAATTATCTTCCCAGGACTTTTACTTTAGCTGCTCATAGAATTACTCAGGAAGCCAAAGGTTTTGAAAACTCTCAAGAATGGTAGTCGCTCCAACCTCCATGGTTATCTTCTTATGTAAATAGTTTGTTTGTTAGTTCTAATGAAATATTACTTATCAAAAAAAATGCAGTTGCTTCGTCTCTACCTTGAGAGCCAAGTCAAAAGCATGATCTAAGTCATAAATTTGCACTGTGAACAATTTCTTCTTGATATCATCCCTTAGTCAATTCCTAAAATGAGCTAATTTGTGCCTTTCACTTCTCTAGTGTGACATCTAATAGATAATTCATCAAACTTATACATGTATGAAATTACAGATAGCATACCTTATTTGAGATTAGTCAATTCCACGACCCCTCAACTTCATGTGTGCAAATCTAATTCCTTTGTTTGTCAGACATATCATGCTACTTGTGATCAAAACAAAAATTCTTCTAGTCCAGCAACCCAATCAATGAATACATGCGGATCATTATCTCTTTTATAATCTGGCATTTCCCTCTCTTTTAACATTCTTGAAAACCTTTCTCCTGTAGTCGACATTATTATATCTGTTTTATTCAATCATCTTCTCAGATAAGCTAATCAGAGACCCTTCATATGGTTCAAAAACCCAACATCATTGATTCTAGAGCTGTAAGATTGTTTAAAAGGTAAACTAGGTCTCTACAATTGATCACTTTGTGGGAACAAGGTAAATAATCATTAATTATCAAAGAAACATGGTGAATAATCATTAGCTCTGATACCAACTGATGTAGGACCAGATCAATTCCATTCCTAGGAGAATGTTGAATGATCGACCTTTGTTTAGAATCTTGTGGCTGCTAATGACTGTAAAGGCTTCTTGAAGGAATGAGAAAGAAAACAAGGAGAGAGAAGAGAGAGAATACCCGGAATCACCCACATGTTACATAGAATCACTCTAGGGGGGAATCAGTCACCATAATTAGCATAAGTTCAAGAAAACTCAATAAACTTCATTAACCTTTGTGCTTAGTGTCTATACATATTTATAGACTGTAGACTCATAAGAATCCTAGAACTCAAGACTATAGACTCATAAGAATCTCAGTTGGACTCAAACTGAATTGCTATGATCTTATTCAATTCAAAGAAGACTTAATTAATTCTTAAACTACTTATTCAAAGACTCTAAAACTTTAAGTATAAACAAACCATAAGTAGACAAACCAGACCCTATCATTCGATCCCACTGAAAATTATAAAATGATGAAAATACCCCTATTATCCAAAAATACATAATATTTCAGAAAATCCCAATTTTGACTCTTCAGCTTCTGTATAATAAAAGTAGTGCAGATACACCTTTTCAGATTGTTACCTTGTTTAAACCATCAAACAAAGCCAAGGAACTAAGGTTGTTAGACAAAATAATACATTATGAAGTTGTCTTGTAGACATTAAGTGTTAAAAACTACATAATGGAGTAAGTTCAAGCAAAATATAAACTAGCAAAAGTGCAAATAATTCTAATAAGATCAACCAAATAATTAGTTACACAAAAAAACTATGTTAATAGTGTTATTAGTTAACATATGCATAATGTATCAGTGTGTTGTTCTCATCCTATTGCAGCAAAGAGGGTCCTATCTTACTTGAAACTTGAAAGGGTCACCTGACCATGGTATTCTTTATTCCAACCATGACATCTTAGAACGGAAGCCTTTACAAATGCATATTTGGCTAGCTCTAAGGATATAGACACGCTACATCAGGACATTGCACCTTTGTAGGATGGAATTTAGTATTCTGGAGAAGCAAGAAGCAGGTAGTTGCCCAGGTCTAGTCCTAAGGCAGGGTACAGAGCTGCTGCTCATGGGATGACAGAATTGCTTGGTTGATAGTTCTTCTAAAAGATTTAGGCATGAATATTGAAGAGCCATTGAAGCTATATTATGACAATCAGGTGCCAATCAATGTTGCTCTTATTCCTTTTGCAATATGATAGTACCAAATGCATTAAGGTGGATTGACATTTTGTGAGAGAGAAGATTCTATCAGGAGAGATTTGTTTGATATATATCAAATTAGATTGTCAATTGGCTGATGTTCTTATTAAGGGAGTCGTGAGGAACAAACTTATGGGTATATTGGGCAAGCTAGGCATGACAGATATGCATGCTCAGCTTGAGGGGGAGCATTAGAATACATGCTGTGTTTAAGTGAGGGTATTTATGCAATTGTAGTTATCATTATAAAACATAATAGACTCTTTGGTTAATAAAGACAATTAGGTTAGCAGATTGACTTTCTGTTTTTTCTCTCTCATCTTTTCTTCCTTCTTATTTCCTTCGTCTAATCTATCCACGTCTTTAGTAAAATGATTACTAGATATGCGATGTTTTTCTTATAAACCATTTGAGGTTTTGGGATCAAACATGACTCTGTTAATACTAAAATGAAAAAAGGTTTAATCATGTATTAATGTCGGTGCTGGCTGTATGAGGTTTTTGGGAGAGTTGGACTGGAGAAGAACCTAACCTACATTTTACACAAAGTGGCTGTTCCCAGATTTGAATATGCTTTCTTTGCTTGAGATTTTACCATTTTTTAGGTCTCAAATAATGATAGAGTAGACACACCTAAATCCTCCCAATGAAGTAGAGATAGGTTGTTCAGGAAACAAGAGTTGATGTGGGGATTGGAATTAGGATACCTTGAATGGTATCCTATAGGATTTAATATGCCTGATTCGCCATCTTCAAAATAAACAAAAAAAACTAAAAAAATATAGATAAATAAATCACTCTTTGACTTGCAAATACATACATATACTACATAATACATAAGTAAATAAATCACTCTATTTATGTACATTTCAATTTTACTTGTGCTTATGCTTGTTGGGTTATTCTTGTTCTTATAGTCGTGATACATTTTGAGATTTTGACAGTCGTTCACTTCTGGAATTTTTGTATGGATATATTTTTATTTATGCATTTCTTAATTATTCTCTCAACAATGCAGGGACTTGCTTATCTCAATACGTTTTAATGAACCTGGATGGTTATGGTCAGGCAGCTTCCTTCCTGATCATCTTGGTGATACTCAGTTGAAAATGCGTAATGTCTCTGGTGCATTAAGTACAATACGGGTTGAAGTGCAGGATGCTGATGTTTCCATTATCAAAGATAAAAGGACTGTTGACAGCTCACATGGAATGTCAGGGACATACTTGATTCTTCTCTCTGATGACAATACTGGCTTTATGCCATACAGAGTTGACAATTTCTCAAAGGAGGCAAGTAATTGGTGGAGGCTTGAGAGTGAATGTTAATGTTGCAAACATTATTTTAGGGAAAATTCTTAGAGAAGCATTACAAACTTCTTATATTTCCTAATATAACCATACAAATCTTGCAAATAATCAAGTGTATTGTACATAAATGTTAACATGCATGTATGCATGAACTTATATTCAAACATGCATCTTGCCCATGAACATACATGTTATTTAGGATTTGGATGTGTCGCTTTTTGGTTCACTAAATCATGATATGGTACACCATATATGTATTGGAAAGAGCCCATATGTTTTCTCTCCTTACATTTCTTTTCTGATGTTTTTACCTTTTGATGGAGCTATCCTGTATTAACAGTAGTTATAACTTATAAGAACAACACTTGGAAGAACATGATTCCATAAGGTTCAAGCCTTAGCTTGAATGGTTGCACAAGTAGTTACCTAGTGGACTGTCTCATCAAAAGTAAGCATATAATTCCTAATAGATGTTTCTTCTCTACAGATACATATAATTCCCCTCATATACGACATGCATTTGTTTTAAGTTTTAGTTTCATGTTTCTTACTTACCAATAAACAGAACTTTTAGTGGTAAATGTTTGTTATGATTTTGAATTTTTATACATCAGTTTTCTCTTTAATGTTGATATTATTTTTATACAGATTTGTTAAAGGTATATTTTGCAAATTTTCTATTTTTCAGAGGTTACGGATTTACCAACAAAAGTGTGAAACCTTTGAGACTATGGTTCATTCTTACACTTCATGTCCATATGCTTGGGATGAACCTTGCTATCCTCATCGTCTTGTTGTTGAGGTATGGTCAACCCATTTTCTCTTTAAAAAAAAACTTAAGAATTGATTTACATGCTAATCTATATTTATGTGCAAATCATAAGGTTCCTGGTGAGCGAATCCTGGGTTCATTCATTCTCGATCATGTAAAGGAGTACACACCTATATGCTTACCTTCAACAACAGAGGTACATTGTTAGGTTACTAACTGTTAGAGTGGAAATGGTAATATTGGTGGTTTGACTGCATTATGACTTCCGTTCAAACTATCCTACTCAGCAGTCAATATTGAATTGTAATTTGATTTGATGTTCTTTATATCAAAGCTCAAAGGAACATGAGTTAACCTCCATGTTAAATGAAACTGCACTAGTAATCCAACTCCAAAGTCTTAGTTGCCCTTGATCCCCTATTCTCTTTTTTATACTTTACACAAGTTTATTGACCTCAAAGTGAATAAAACATAACAGAATCCTCTTCTCTATTCAGTCTCAAAATCTAAAA